TCTTTAAGAAAATCGGTCCCCAATCTCATTCTAATATTTGCTTTCTATTGCTCCGGCTTTATAAATTCCGGGTCAGAGATATATCCATATGCTAAGAATTTTTTATATGTCGTCCTGACAACAATATTTTGAAATATGTGTATTCGATAAAAATTTGTATTTAAAACTGGAGAAAGATTCTCAATACTTGTAACATGATAAGGGTCAATATTTTCAAGTAATGTAGTGAATTAATTGAATTAATAATCTCACACTATTAAATTACAGGTTTCAAGGATATGCTTTATTTGTAAAACTGTAAAAAATCAAAGCGACACAAAAACATCCAATTATGATCAAGAGATACAAATAAATTTGCAATAATTCGTCTAAAATTTATATTTTCCTAAATATCGACCACACAAGATTTGCATCAATTTAAAATTTCAACCACAATTTACACACCGTTAAAAAATTATTGAGTGTTAAAAACGACTCATAATTAATTATCCACCAAAATCCCCCCCTTCATCCTCACCCCTAATAAATACAGGAAACGGTCAACCAGCGGAAATCTAATTTTTGTAGCCCCACCAAATTCCCACACAATTTTAAAAAAGAATCTCGAAACATAATTACGATTAAATATCACCCTAAAAATATTAATTCCACCCCTCCTTTTTATTCCTCCATCATCATTAAATTCCCATCAATCCTCTCCATCATCCGTTACCTATTTCTTTCTCCAGCGTCCAGGAAACATATAAAAAACTCGCTCCCAAAACCCCCTCCACCCAGTCGCCACGCAAATAATAGGAAAAAATGGGAGGAGGAACTCACTTTCGTAGAGTTGGTGTCCAAATTGTAGGCCGGGTGTGGTTGGGGGAGGTTAAATTGCCAACGTTTCGAACTCTTGTTCTTTTTCAAGGCGGCGGAGGGGAAGAATTTTGAGAAGTTGTGACTTCACGTGCCGAATTGTGAGTGAGGAAGGAAGGGTAAAAAAGGGTAAAGGAAGACCGTTAACGCGTGCGTAACGGTCTTCCTTTACCCTTTTTTACCCTTCCTTCCTCACTCACAATTCGGCACGTGAAGTCACAACTTCTCAAAATTCTTCCCCTCCGCCGCCTTGAAAAAGAACAAGAGTTCGAAACGTTGGCAATTTAACCTCCCCCAACCACACCCGGCCTACAATTTGGACACCAACTCTACGAAAGTGAGTTCCTCCTCCCATTTTTTCCTATTATTTACTCACTATGCACATTCTACCAAATATTTAACCCAATTTTTTGTGCACTCCTTTTGAAAAATTAATAATTATGGCCCAATCCTTTTTCTACAACAAATTCCTTTCCTCAATTAATTGTTATTCTCCTCCTATCGTAGAACTTGCTAAGAACTATTTTAGTTTCATTTTAAAGAAGTGTCGCTTATCATCTCATTGTCATTTTTTAAATGCCTGTCTACGTAAAAAGATAATCCCACCTGGTTTCATTTTGAAATTCCATCCCGGCTTCATTCCCAACTCCAGGGATAAGGTTGTCATTAACAAACACCTTCATAATGCTTCTTTGAATTTAATCCGTACTTCATTCCAACATTTTTCTAGTGAAAAGGACATTATTTCATCCAAAATACTCTCCAGTAGAAACGTTTTAAGAAATAATTCGGATCCTAATACTTTCGGCCATATCCTAGATTTAGCCCGGCATTACAACAGCCAATTTTACTCTTCCTTGCGTAACATTAAGAATCATAAATTCCGTAAAAGTCAATCGTCACAATCCGGCCATAATTCTGCCTCCACACCACACTCTTCCACCACAATTCCCTGTCACCCCCCCCCATTAACCAAGTTGTTTTAATCCCTCCCGACATTGTTCTGTCTCCAGACGAAACGTCACTTTTATGCCGTGGTCTAACCTTTTCTCCGACCCCTGATAAATCTAACCTTTTCGAATTGCACCAAGACCATGAACATTTTTACCGACGACTACGTTTATTGGGCCATTTTGGTCCTCATTCTGGTTCCTCATCCCCTCCCTCCATTACACAGTTTTCCGAATCCATAATAGACAAGGTTATTCCTAAAAAAAGCTCGTGGACACCCCCTCCAAACCAATTCCCTGATCTGGAATACTTCATAAATTCCTCCCGCAAAGCCCTCCCATCCAGCGGATATAGTTTCCAATCGCATAAATCTAATCTGTCTTCTCAAGAACTGTCTACCATTAAATCTTTGTCCAACCGTACTGACATTGTCATCCGCAAGGCTGACAAAGGTGGGTCAGTAGTAGTTTGGTCCCGTGACCTATATATATCTGAGGCTAATTCCCAACTTAATAATACGAATTTTTATTGCAAATTAGATTCTGATCCGACTTCATCTTATCAGAAACAAGTTTCTAAAACGATTGGGAATTTTATCTCCAGTGGGGATTTACCTGTTTTTGCCCAGCGTTTGATTGAAAAGAACCCACGTTGCTCAGTTTTCTATCTTAACCCTAAAATTCACAAGTATGGCAACCCTGGTCGACCTATAGTGTCAACTGTTTGTTGCCCCACCTCCCTCATTTCCGCCTTTGTCGATTCGGTCTTACAACCCCTGGTCGCAAATACTCCCACGTATTTGAAAGACACGACCCATATGTTACAACTTTTAGAGAATTTTATATTCCCCGTCGACCCTGCTTCTTGTCCTACTTTCTTAGTTACCTGTGATGTTGCCCAGCTATATACGGTCATTCCTCACGCAGGTGGTCTGACCGCAGCGAAAGTCCTTTTTGAATCTAGATCCGTTCTTGATCCCCCGACTCATGTTCTAATCCGGCTTTTAGAATTGGTTTTGACATTAAACGCGTTCGAATTTAATTCTGAATTTTTTTCCCAAATCTCTGGTGTCGCAATGGGCACGAAAGTAGGCCCCAGCTACGCTTGTTGTTTTTTAGCACACCAGGAATTTTTATTCTTTGCACGTTACTCTGGTCCCATGCCCGTTCTCTATAAGCGTTTTATCGACGACATTTTTATGATTTTTCAATCCCCGGATACCGATGTCACCATCTTTTTAGACGCGATGTCCACAATGCACCCATCGTTGAAATTCGAAACCACAATTTCTAGCTCTTCAATTTGCTTCCTCGATTTGAAGATCTCTATTCGTGATCATAAAATCCTCACCTCAATCTATTACAAACCTACGGACTCACATTCCTATCTTCCATACGATTCGTGTCACCCAAAACACGTTTTGGATAGCATCCCTTACTCCTACGACTCAGACGCATCTGTAGTGATGACGATGATTTCCTAACCCAAAGCTTTACCATGTCACAATTTTTCTCCCACCGTGGTTACCCAAGTCACCTTATCAGGAGAACGCTTGAGGCAGTCAAGGCTGTTTCTCGTAGCTCGCTCCTTGTCCCTCATGATAAGTCCACGAAGGACATTGTCCCATTAGTCGTCGGCTACTCCCCTAACGTGACAACAGTGGTACAAAAAACCAAATCCCTCTTCAATTCAATTCTCTCACATAATCCCAACTTTTCATCTAAACCAATCGTCGCATACAGACGAGCCCCAAATTTGCAACAGCTTTTAGTCCGTTCCAAATTGAAACCGATTGGTGACTCTATTCTACAAGATTCAACAACTTTCGGTACCTTTCCTTGTAATAGACCACGCTGCAAAACTTGTAAATCAGTTTTGCAACAACCTCATCTCAAAATCAACAATTTCACCTTCAAAATCAAATCTTCTTTTCCTGTATTAGTTCGTCCCTAATTTATGCAATCTCATGTAAAAGATGCCCGGACGTGGTATACATAGGGCAAACCTCTCGTAAATTAGCTGATCGTTTCCGTGAACATTTAAAATCTATTAGCAATAATCTTGGTACTACGGTCTGCAACCACTTCATCCGCAATCACGATATTGATGATATCATCATCACTGCCCTCTGCAACGCTCCTTCTGATGAAAGAAAGCGTTTAACACTTGAAAATAAAATCATCTTTCTTTTCCAGTCCAACAAGCCCCCTGGCTTGAACGTTAACTTCAGTTTCCTTCTAAAATAGTTTTTTGGCAAGTTCTACATACCCTCAGGGCGGTTTGCATTGCCGACGGGTGTTTGGGCGACCCCGAGGTACCTGAGCCTGGACCGTTACGCACGCGTTAACGGTCTTCCTTTACCCTTTTTTACCCTTCCTTCCTCACTCACAATTCGGCACGTGAAGTCACAACTTCTCAAAATTCTTCCCCTCCGCCGCCTTGAAAAAGAACAAGAGTTCGAAACGTTGGCAATTTAACCTCCCCCAACCACACCCGGCCTACAATTTGGACACCAACTCTACGAAAGTGAGTTCCTCCTCCCATTTTTTCCTATTATTTACTCACTATGCACATTCTACCAAATAGCCACGCAAATAATACGCTGGCCTGATTTTCTTGTCAGGTAGACGCGTCCCTACCCTACAAAATACTCTCCTACATATTTTTTAATGCGTCCATAGCAATCCAACATTTCTACGCATGTAGCGTCTCTTTCCCCACCGCGGAAGTCGTGCCCACAATAAGACTAAAACCTGCCACCCCCCTTCCCTTAAGGGACGCCAAACTTCAAAATCCCCCTAAAGCCATCACCCATCCTCCGCGGCCACTGATCCCATCTCCACTAGCAACTACCAACTGCCAACCAAACACACAATACCTCTCTACCATATTCACCTTTTCCCTAAAAAAGTGCGTATCCCCTCTACCCAACCAGATTTCAAATACGCACTCCCAACCCCTCACCTCTTTCCTCCCGTCAAACCACTCTCCCAACAAAATCATCTCATGAAATCATGATGCATAGCGTCCCCACACAAAGTTTGCCCATACCTCGCCACACATTCTCCCCCATGCCACCACTGGGTGATTCGCTGGTCTCTCCTACGCTGTAAAAGTTCCATTGCAGGTTCTTCGTTCGGGGAACTTCGCAGTGGCCTGCTCTATATGCCATTCCTATCCCAACTTTAGCCAAGAGACGCACCCGCATAGCAACAGCACCACATAGACACCCACCCTCCTGCGTCCCAGTTTCCCTCCACGCAGCCAAATTTTCTGCCAACTGCCAGTCGACAACAAACCAGAAATAAACAAACAGACGAAAAACAAGGGCTGGTTCAATTTTTGGGAGAAAAACTTAAAAAGAGAGGAAAAAGGTGAGGAAATTCGAAATTATCATCATAAATAGGAATCTATTTAAGTTTTGGTGTCTTTTTATGCAAAAATTTGGGAATTTTGTCCAATAATTCTAATTTTGAACAGATGGCTAAAGCAAAAGCTGCAGGAGCTGGCGGAGCTGCTAAGGCGAAACCCGCCAAGGTCAAGAAGCCAAAGGGCAAGGCGAAGGCCAAGAAGCCAAAGGCGAAGGTCGCCAAGAAGGCAAAGTCCCCGAAAGCACCCAAACCAAAGACCACCAAGAAGGCGGCGTCCTAAAATGTGGAGATCTCTACTTTCAAACTTTCGAGGCGCACTCTTAATTACTTTTTCCAGTACAAATAACAGATTTTCTGTTCCAAATTTCACCAAATTTTATTCCACGAGTGTCGCTTAGGTTAGGGGAGAAAAATAATAATTAGAATCTAAGCAGTGTTTCCCGATAATAAGTAGGTAGAATTTTATCCAGATTTTTCGAGAAATCAAAGTTTTTAAGCTTTACTGTCTTTTTAAATGGATTGTTTTGTATCTGTATTTACAAAATTTGCTGTTTAATTGCTAAATTATTTAGGGAGAAAGTGTATCTAATTGGTATCTAGTTTTTAAGCTAAATTCTAAATTTTATGGATGTGTTTCTAATCTGGAAGAAAAATTGGCATGGTTCGATTCATAAATAAACTCTTTGTTTAGAAAATCACAAACTTGGAAGGAACGACTTCACACATTTAATTATTCAAAAAATTTAGCATCTTAGTTTTACGAGATTAAGTAAATAATTACAATTTGAGGCATTTTAATTCACATAAAAGATATTACGCATTTAATCCGCTCGAAGTCATATTTATTGAGTACCCCTACTACTCTTTCACTCTAATTTCATGAGTTTCGTTTGCACCAATTTTAGTACTAATGAATAATTTACAAAATATCTAACTCAAATAAATACTTCGCATATTTGCAATCCATTCATGCATCCGTTGTCATGACGACCACCAGCATGTCCAAAACCTTTGTATGAAGCGAGGAAAATTTTGCAAATATGTTCAACTTGTCACCTTGTAAAAACATTGAAAATTGCAAAAAATAAAGAAAAAATGGAAACATCACAAATTTGTACATTCGAAATTTTCTTATACATAACTTTCCCCAGGCCACGTTCTGTGCAGACAGTATAAATATTTGTAATCCAAATGAGCTGCAACAAAACCATCCCGTGAAAACTTTTTATATGTCAATGCAGCCTAATCAGTTAATGAATGGGGCCTGGAGAAATCTACATATAAAATATCATTTTAATCGAATTAAAATTACGTATGTATTTATTTTAAGTGAGAGATGAAGTGAAAATGAGCTACTTTCACATTACATTGATCCAAGTTTGGGAAGCGGGTTTAATTCTGGATGTAAATAAATACATAATTTGTAGAAATTAAATATTACCCTGCATTAATTACTTATTTAATAAGAGCATGTCTCATAAATCGTAAAGTGAAACCTGGTCGTTACCGTGGCGACCCAACCACTGCCATAATCACAACTCGATTTATGGTTTCTTTGGAAAAAAATGTACGAATAAATATTTGCAAAAATTTCACAGACACTTTGCCTCTCTAAATTTTTATTTTGACTCGTCTCCCTAAATCGTTAAGTACTCAACTAATACGTAAAATGGGAATCATACTCGAGACAAATTTACCATAAAATTTTCTCGATTCTAATATATTTTATGGTCATAAGAATTTTGTATTTCATCAAATAAATAATTAACACCAAAGCACATCAATCTCCATATTCTCAAAGACTTATGCCCATAATAATAAGCACTCCAATATTTACCGCATCCTTTAACGATCGACCCTATCTCCCTTCCAAAATGTCCAACCAAACTGACATGGTCCATTACACTTGAACTTATAAAGTAGGTCAAGTCTCCCGCAAAATCGTTTTTAGCATAGCCAGTCCAAGTTGGACTGTCCAACTCGACCTTCCAGTAATGTCCACAAATTTATGGACAAATCCAAAATTGTTCACCGATGAGCTGGTGAATATCCATTCGTCACAACCCACAGTGGTAGGATCACCGCTGTAGATTAAAACGGAAGATTTCGACACGCTTCATGTCTCAAAAATCTCAGTGACATTCTGGTTAGAAGCCTTATAAAACATTTTAAAATTAAAGTTTCCCTTAAGAAATTGATACGAGTAGGAATACAAACTTTGGCATAGATGAACACGAAACTAAAAGCGTAAGGAGTCCAACCAGTCTAGGGAGTTTAAACCGCAAGATTTACCATTTTGTGGGCATCTTACACGATTTTTAATCTTTCTAAATTAATACCTTAAATTTCGTTCCATAATTGAATAATACTTAGAAGGAGTATGGTAAGTTTGGTCGTGATTTGGGCCCCCGAGTTTTATTTTTTATTTTTGAAGGGTATGATGTGGGAACTTTAAATAAATATGGTAGAGTTGAAAAAATTCATCGTAAACCACTTTTCTACACCTTAAATTGTGATTTTCGGCGACCCATTTTTTTTGGACGTTTCATAAGCCATATCTCTGAACTCACTAAGATTTTGACATAACCTCTAATTTAAAAAATGTAGCTACTTACCTTAGGTACCTAAAAAATATTTTATTAACATATTGAAATCCAATGGCGAGAAGATGAAAAATTAAATGTCAAAATTTTCGTGAAAAAATGTCAAATTTTTTAAACTTTTTCATGTTCTATCATATCCTGGGTATCGATTACTACCAAATTAATGACTTAATTAATTGTCTATGACATGCGACTATAACATATAAAAGTATTACGTCTGAAAGTGCCATCTTTGTTTCGTTAAAAATGACCGAAGTTGATAAAACGTGCTTAAATTTCTCTGTCAAGCTAACGTATTAATTATTTTCGCGGTTATTAAAGCGCAGAATCTTTATAAAACTCTACCATAAACGTACTTACATACGTTCTAGACCTGATAGGAAACAACTACGAAAAAAATGTTTCAATATTGTTTAGATAACGAGCGATGAACGATGAAGAATCAATATACAGCTTTACAAAACTGCAAAAAATAAGTTATTGATTTTTTATTCCAATTTGGAAACTTGCACTAGACCTTAAACTATGTGGACAATATAGCCACATTCATATAGAATGTCACTCAACTTGATTCTTTTTTTCGCAATTTGATAAAATTTAGCGAAGGGAAGATACCAATTAAGAAGCCCGAATACCGTAGCCAACACAAGCGATTTCTAACAAAACAACGGTGACACTTTTAAACATAATTTGTTTTATGTGTTATAGACACATGTCATAGGCACTTAATGAGATGATTAGTTTGGGACAATCAGTCAAAGAGTGTCTACAAAAATTTATAAGCTTGAAAAATTTCTAATTTTTTCTTGAAAATGCTTTCTTAAATTTTATATCGTCTCATCACTACTATATTCTACAGCGTCATCACTTGAGTAACATTTAATATGAGTGTGGGTACATTGTACACATTGTTTAAGGCCATAAGTAAGCTTGAAAGTTGGAGTAGTAAATCAATAACTTAATTTACTGCAACTTTTTAACGCTTAGTGCTTAGTTTCCGAACGGGGTCCATTTTAAGACACCTGTAGTGAATCATTTTAGCGGTGATTGTTTCCTATCAGGTCTAGAACGTATGTGAGTACGTTTATGGTAGAGTTTTATAAAGATTCCGCGCTTTAATAACCGCAAAAATAATTAATACTTTAACTTGATAAAGAAATTTAAGCACGTTTTATCAACTTCGGTCATTTTTAACGAAACAAAGATGGCACCTTCAGACGTAATATTTTTATATGTTATAGTCGCATGTCATAGACAATTAATTAAATCATTAATTTGGTAGTAATCGATATCCAGGATATGATAGAACATGAAAAAGTTTAAAAAATTTGACATTTTTTCACGAAAATTTTGACATTTAATTTTTCATCTTCTCGCCATTGGATTTCAATATGTTAATAAAATATTTTTTAGGTACCTAAGGTAAGTAGCTACATTTTTTAAATTAGGGGTTATGTCAAAATCTTAGTGAGTTCAGAGATATGGCTTATGAAACGTCCAAAAAAATGGGTCGCCGAAAATCACAATTTAAGGTGTAGAAAAGTGGTTTACGATGAATTTTTTCAACTCTACCATATTTATTTAAACTTCCCACATCATACCCTTCAAAAATAAAAAATAAAACTCGGGGGCCCAAATCACGACCAAACTTACCATACTCCTTCATGAGAGTTATCTTCTGCTACATAAATTATTCTACAAAATGTCCAATCCTTTTGCTTTTAGCTAATGAAAAAGACGTCACTAAAATATGCATTACCTACAAAGTCAATAAATTACTTAGCTAATGTTTGGTCGGATTTCTATGGCAACACTGATACCCTTGATACTTATTTCTACGTCAATCTTCATCTTAAGAGGTACCAATGCTCTTAAGATATTCACGTCTTGAATTATTGAAGTGCATCATTTCCCTCCCAGGCAAAAAGAATCTTTATTCAAAGTAATATCAGTAACCTCCTCCACACAATATAGATAGATAGATAGATCGATAGGATTTATTCAAGATTGATGTAGCGTCAGCTTTTACAATCATAAATCATTCATCTCATACAAAACGCAAAACATACATAATTTCATCTCTCAAATGCAAAGATTAATCAATCTATTAAGGCATATCCCTAGTTGTAGGCATTCTCCACAAGTAGCACACGGCATCCCAATACAGGCCATAGCTCGCAAAATAATGGTCCGTGGTCCATGGTCTGTGGTCCAGATTTAATGGTCCGTGGTTCGTACGGACCACTGAATTTTTGTGGTCCGTGGTCCATGGTCCGTACGGAGCACTTAATTTTGATGGTCCGTGGTCCGTACGGAGCATGGTCCGTGCGAGCCATGATACAGGCTAGTTATATACAATGATAAATAACAAAATAGATACATATAGAATAATGATAATATGTATGTGGTAGCAAGGGTGGAGTTGAAAAACCAAATTATAATGGTGGGGTTCGGAAAACCACTCCATATACTGGGAAGATAACCCAGTATACCATTCGGCCCCTACTACCTGTACACCCAGGTAGGCAATGAATGGCAAAGATCATAGACGATTTGCATGAGGTGGTGGTGATATCCAAATGAGGACGGCGTCGGCATGCGGAAGCAGACAGTTGAAGGTTGTTGGGCAGGGGTGTCCACGGACCGCAGGGTTATGACCCACATCCCCCATGGAAGCCGGGGCCGAGCGACACCACCCACTTGCCCCTTCCCCCATCACAACAAAACCGAGTCATGTGCCCCCCGTAGACCCAGTTCTGCTGTCTCCCGCGATGCATGACCCCATACTCACTCTTCCACCAACCACTCCCCACGGTCACCATCCCGATGTACCAAACAAAGACCTACCTGGGGGGAGTCCTTCACAGCGGAGATCCACCAGAGCCAAAGTCCAGAGAGTCCTCTTCGCCGGATGGCTCAGCTTGTCGTTGCTGGGGAGGGTGCACCAGGAGGTGTAACCAGGGTAGCTGGTGGAGGGTGTGAGTGGACAAGGCTCACATGGCGACACTCCCTGTTACACACTTGACTTGTCCTGGATGCACCCTACACCAGTTGCGGTGATCCAGATCCGAGGACGAGAGAAGGACACGTCTAAT